TGTTATTTGACCATCATTTCCATCTTCCAACTACCTGTACCACAGCACCGATAGCTGAAAAATGCAAATGAAATAACTACAAGACTGAGAAATGGCACAATCAAAAGCATGCAAATGCATGATTTAAAAGACCTAACTATGGTTTTCTTGAATTATCTATACGTATAAATACACTAGCAACGCTCTTATGTCACAGCAATTAAAGATCGACAATAAAACGTCAATCAATGATTACGCCCGTCAATGCATCTGTCACAATTCCTGAGTCGTTATTATCTACCTACCATTTCGATAAGAGCTCACAAACTACGAGCACAGCCCTCGTCTCGTATTAACTACAGGTTCAAGTTATACTGGTGGTCGGTGGCTTATCTGAGTGCAAATCAGTCAGAGGTTATGTGAGGTCATGCGTATGATATGATAAGCTACCCAATACGTTGACAACGCTGTGTTGTTGTATAATCAATTATAATTATATTTGTATCCTAGTGCGGTTGCAAAATAAATCTTTGTCTCGAACGATTTCCCAAATGAGATTATATTCAGAGTAGACAATAACAGTATCTACATACCTATGTACATTTTTATTTTTAATGTGATAATAATTCCTGTTATCAAGTTTATTTGTTACTTTTCATAGCTTTTTATAAAAGTATATGTTAATGAGGTTATGATTACGGTGATGATAATATATACATAATTAACAAATGTGAGAGGAAAGGATTGTTAGTAATGCACTCTACCAGTCTAATTGCTAGCAATATAGCCTGTCAGGCCTGCCTACACGTGGTCCCCCCTGGAAACCAATGTGCTGAATTCCAAGTTAATCAGATGGGCTAACTGACCTACTTTTTCATTCTCACCTATCATCCCTCACTGGTGCCCTGCCAGCGCATACCGTTAGTGCAGGCGGGGTTACCATTTCATTATCATTTATTAAAAAAAAAACAACTAATCTATGTAGTTTTCCTCTTATATCTTCTTATATCAATTATTTCTGGATCAGTGACGTTTGTGAACAACCGTGAAATGACGTCATAAATTTAACAAATTTATTGGACACATACCCATATTTCAGAGCTACAATTTTTTTTTTCAAATTATACATCATAATCATTCCTTTTATACTGCTTTTATACAATTTTATAAGCGAATGTGGGTCTTGTTTATTCGTTTATCAATACTGAAAATAAACTATCTTCATTAAATTATCCGTAAAGTTCTATAATATACAATTAAGGTGTTTATACAATACATTGCACATGATCATACCTATTTTGAATAAACAAACAAACGGTAGTCATAATAATTACAATAGATACTCATGTAATGTAGTAAATGACCACGGTAACTACAAAAGGAGTTAGAAACATTTATATGCACAGTAATAATAACTAACAACTGATTTATAACGTATCTACTTAATTAACAACGCATGATTTATTGCATACAAAACACGATAAAGGTCTTTAAATCATATCATTGAAATATTTTAATTTGTAACGTTATTTCATTATAATATATGATCAATTAAATAGAAATAATTTGATTAACTGATGTCAGGTTCCTCGACAAGCTTCACACTGTTTTTAGATAATATACTTGATGATGATCGTAGGTTAAATACTATGATGTAAAACATATAACTATATTTATTTTATACATCGTATATATGTGTGTGTATATATATATATATATATATATATATATATATATATATATCAGCCGTTACTATCCTCTCCCATAAGGAGGGGGGGGGGGTTGCCAGTAGTTGCCACTCTTGGCAACCGCATTTAGAATTTGGTAGTATTTTAAGAGGGATGCTGCTGCCAATCCCTCATCCATTAAGTTCTTTTTGTCACCTTTTATGACATTCACAGGAAAATAAGGCGTGGCCTATTCTATGCCGGGACCACACGGTTATACGTGTATACCTATATATATATATATATATATATATATATATATATATATATATATATATATATATATATATATATATATATGTACCTATGAAAATACGTTTTCTACTCATCAGTGTATGGAAGAAACTACCGGAATAAAAAAAATAAAACGTTGGCTTAAGTACACTCCAAATTCGTGTAAAGATGCTCAGAATGTTTGTTTATGATAGAATAACTCACAAACTATTCGACCAATTTTAAAAATTCTTTCTCCCATAGAAAGCTACATTATCAGCAAGTATCATAAGCTATATTTTATTTACAAATAAAAGTTGCGTAGGCGGAGCGAACTGTTAGTAATTCATAATTCTTAGGAAGATTTATAGTAATCTAAAGGAATTAAACGATAGGTTCCTATATAATAAAAATTTACATATACCTACTAAATTTAGGGACAACAATAGAAATAACAGTAACAATTAAACCTAGAAACAACATAAGTTTAACTTTCATATAATGACTATAATTGTAAGTCATATAAGTTTATATATTTTAACTTTTATAATTACGCTTGGCTTTTTGATTGTTTTTTAAACCGAAGTTAATCTAAAATCATATGTGCAGATCGTTGTCTCGGTAAAAAAAAAACTTGTAGCTAGAATTAATTTTATATTTGAACAATATAAATTTGAACAAATTCTTTAAAGTAAACATATTAATTTTATTAAGTTTTCTCTCATTCTCATTGAATGAGAATTTTTATGTGAAATATGTATAAGAATTGTATAAGCAATTAATAAGTTATTCTATGCTTTTTGCTATAAAGGAATATAAACGTTAATTAAAAAGTAAGGAGAACTGCTCAACAATTAGTCGGAGAACAAAGAATCCTCATTAAAACCACGACGGCTAAATAATTGCAGGCAGTAACTAACTGAAAACTAAACTTTAGATAACTACAGTAAAACAAATAGAAGTGACAAAAGCGTGTAATTGCGGTTAAGAAAAAGTGCAGTGGCGTTGTTTGTAAAAACGAATAATTTAAAATTTTACTTCTCAAAAAAAAAAACAAGGGCTTTTAACGTAACAAAATTAATATAGGATCCATATAGGTACGAAAAAATTGTATCAATTGCAAGAAGAATTCTCAAAATAATGTTAGCAATTCTAAAAACGAAAATATCGTGTAGGTAACATGAATAATAAAATTATTTAAGACTTCAGAAGTAAGGATTTTAAATAACTTTAAAATAATGTACATTTATTTAGTAAAAATTAGATAATAAATATTTATTATTTAATTAATAATACTACTATTTCAAGGCTTATTATTATTATTTACAGATTATCTGTATCATTTTAATCGTTAACTGTTCACTGCTAAACGTCAGCCTTTCCAATAAGAGAAGTTTTGCCAGTAATTGCCACGTTTGGCAGGCAGGCATATATATATATATATATATATATATATATATATATATATATATATATATATATATATATATATATATATATATATATATATATATATATATCTGTACAATTATACATAATTGCGAATTCTTGTAAAAAAGGTCACTTATGAAACTAAAACAATAAACAAGGAGAAAGAAAGAAGTAAAGGACTCGCCCAAAAACTTAACCAAGATAATGAGCTCGTAAATAGCTTCATGTATAATTTATTAGATGCAGTTTTTTCGCTTAACTTGCGAACGGGAAGACATAGAGGCTATTTACTGCAGCTTAAGATAAGCTGTAACAATTACAGTTAGCTATAGAATAGTAAAGAAATCAGTCGCTGAATATAGTAATACATTAACGCAAAAAAATAAATTCTTGATCATATTATCGTATATGTAATTATGTTTACAGTAAATAGGTATATATATCTACGTATGTACATGTTTAATTATTATTATTAACCTTAAATTTGTTTACTTAATATAAGTCTACATTGTTCAATTATTTATGTCAAAGCTTTTGTACATTCACATTTATCAGATGAAAACGTATACAAGCGGACTTATCTCTTTATTTTTTTTTATTCCATAGATGAATACATTTTATTTTTTATTAAAAAAAATTGTGCATATTCTTGTTTCGTAATTCTTATTCTTTAGTAAAAACTATGCTTACAATTGCTATCTTTAGTTGAATTAAATATCTCACTGAAAAAATATCTAGTTACTTCTTTTAAGATTTATTCTCATCAATTAAGCGTAACAATATTAAAAATAACGCAGATATACGAATACAAATATACAGAAATGCTACTAAAAAATTAAATACAGCATACACTTACGAGGAGAAACAATCGCAAACAAAATGAAATGCAACATATGTCACACTCTTGTCGATACGCAAAGAGATTATGTATGAATTATGTAAGCCAGCTGCCGGTGTTAGCTACAATGAATAAAGCAGCACCTTTTAGTATACGAATTGAATTCTGTTTTATTTCTCGGGTGCACTTTTAAACGCATCCGTATTCACGCTTGGACACTGTCACTGAAAATTCGCACGGTACCGAAATACGAGTAAATATAGACCAATAAAAATAAACGTCTATCTCCTAAAAAATATAAATGTAGTCGAAATTATTGTAAATTGACCCGAGCCCGTTATAAATTCCATTCGAAATTTGAATTTTAATAAAACAGCATGTTCGTGTATTCATACGTCACATCATTCCTTGTTGTACGGCCTCTATGCTCACAATTTATGTCTCTCGTGGGAGACGAAGAGTAATGCCGGCGTAGGGAGAAAAGGCAAAAAAAAATTGCTACGAGTCGGTCGACAAGTTCAGCCAATTATAACTGACAAGCGGCGCAGGCGCGCCCGCCCGTTTAATTTCAAGCCTTCAAGCAACGACATGTAGTAATTCTTAACAATACCTTTTCCTTCGTTAAACACGTTAATGAATGTCATTGTACAAAATTCATTTAATTAATACAAAACGTTTTAATATCGAGCGTTAACTTGCATAAAACCAACAAAAAATAAACGATGCAAAATGGTAATTGAAAACGTGAATAATAATATTCTCGCGCGCTACGTTTTTAATATTCTATTATATGCCTTCCACCTTCATTACAGGTACGTTTGAGAAGTTAAAAAGTGCCTTGGAATGAATCATGGCGTGCGATCCCCATGAAATATTACACCCAAGCTGGCACCATAAAGCAAACGGCGTGGCACAGCCGATACAACGATAGCGACACTACGAACTCGACAGACACCAGAGAACTCGACGTTCTGAATGCATATACAGGTTGTTTCAAGATACAAAGAATAAAACGTTTTCTCTCCAATTAATTTCCTGAACAATACTCGAAATTATTTTATAATACAAAAATTCTTAAGCGAACAATGGCTTTAATTATGCAACAGGTCATAGTAATTTTTTGTGCTCATGTAATTAAAAATTAGCGGAATCTTACAACCATGCAGTTAATTACGACATTCTAATACATGTTCACCTTCAACAGTCAATCACTTAAAGTATAAATGTATTATGTATCTATAGGACAGTTATTACTTTATTAAACATATATGTATGTATGTATATAGGATTAACGTAGGTACTCATGTCCTAGCATTTTTAATACACGGAAGAAAAACATATCTCATAAAATTATTCAATTTCAATTTATTTATTGCATTCTACAATTCTACATTCTAATCCTGAATTACATGTTATAAAAATAACTTTTAATTAGTTATTATTAAAGGATTAAATAAATCCTTTATATATATTTACGAGACTATAACAACCACTTACATTTTTATCTCGATGCATTAATTTTACTAAATATACTAAACTACCAGAGGGAGACTGTACAAAAATCGTTTGCTTGGGCACCTCTGTCTCATTCGTATTTCTACCGTGAAGCAGTTGTGTTTGTATGGCTGTGTTTTGGTTTAAAGGGTGGGATATGGCAAGGAATTTATAGGGTACAGAGAAATAACACCTGAGTCCTCAGGAATGGCAACGTATGGGGGGATATCGTATCATGAACGAAACAATATACTTTGTTATGTTCATGGTACTGCTCATGTCTATTGGCGACGGTTACCACTTTCCATCAGGTGGGCCGTCAGTTTGTTTGCCATTCTAAGTTGCATAAACCATATGACTGTGGAATTTTGAACCCAATTTCCTAGTTTCAAATGATCCTTGTAATATAGAAATTATAAAAATAAATTAAATACGAGGTTTTCATGAACGACAAATGCGAATGAAGGCCTAATTAAATAATTAATTCAAATATGAAAATAAACTAAATAAATAGGGCCACCCTGTGTGCAACTCCCACATATTTTACTCACCAACACAGGGACGTAATGAAGCAATTATATATCGATATTTTTATGCATAAAATACTTGGCGGATATCTGGTCGGACCGCGTCGGAACGTACAGAAATAAAACAAAGCGAGAGGTTATTGTTGGCCTGGGTAGGTGTGTGCCCGTCTCGGTTATCGAGCTTTTAACCCGACGTGCGACACGTCGCAACATCGACACGATTTATCACCTCACTAGCCCACTACTCATTCGTATTTTCCCAGTGGAATAAATTCAAAACAAGCGAAATGATTGAAAACTGTATCTGATAATTTAAATTACATTAAATAGTCTTTTTTCTATTTAACTTATTTATTTCACAAACATTATCAATGTGAATTTTTAAAAATATTTGGATATTTGATACTCAATTACATTTAAAAACTACACATAGAATACTTTATATACTAATGTACGCAAGTAACGCCACAGAAAACAGCTAGTATATAAATAAATGTACAATTTTTTAATATTTAAATATTATTATCTATTACCTACTACTAGGTATTTATTGGTGTAATTAGTTTGAAATTATTAGTTAAAAAATATATAAATAAAACGTCTATAAACAAACAAATAAAACACGTAAATACAATATTCAAACTATAGTCGTATAAACTATAAAATAACGACAGATGACAACCCTAATGAAAAGCCACTTAACTCGAATGGTGTACTAAATGGTGTGTTTAAATGATTATGTGTTATTTCAACGACATTACAACCATTTTTGTTATTGGAATAACGCCTCAGATATGCGGACGTTGCGGCGGCTCCTTAGTGAGATTAACAGGTATTCGACATGTTTCATTGCATACAATTACTGTTTGTTCTTCCCGTGGATGCGCGGCTGATGAATATGTGTGATAAGGACAGACGGTGTCAATGGAGACGTTCTGTCCGTGTTTTATGTGCGCTGATACACCATTGACGTATGCACACACCGTCATTCCGGAACATATTACAACATGTAGTTACTTAAATTATTTTTACTTTTGACGCATCTTTTTTATACATCTATTTATACATGTGGTTTGATTTTTCAATGATTATGTATTCTTTTCCATAATTTAGCAAATTTGAATTTACAAATACTGTATGCTCTTTCCTAGTTATTTTGATTAACTAGATACTTGAATTTGTGCTGCCACTTGATCGCAATTTTTTCGAATTGGTTTTTAAGCGATTTTTTTAGCAAATTGGTTCCTAATGCACTTTTTGCATTACCGAAAGCAAAAGGTTAACTCTTGAAATGGTCCCACATTTTATTCCCTGTATTTTGTCGCAAAAAAATCTTAAATTATTAAAATGTTTAAACAAAATATGTATCATTATTGATTTTGTAAATTAAATTATTTATATAAATATATCAAATAGAACTGAAACTTATAGAGCAACTTATAAAATACTATACCAAAATACGTATACAGCAATAAATACAACATAAACGCATCATTCTGAAGATTTATAAGTACCACATAATATATAATATAGTAATATATAGCAAGTAACAGCTCTTAGAATGAACTAATATCTCTCTAAGGAACAATGTACAAAGTCTGTGCATTGTCTGCTATTACCCTGTGGAATTAACTTGAAGATGAATAGGTACTGTATTTAGTTTGCATTACATTTCTTGTCCTTTTGTTAAATTAACTAGCCCCTTTGATATTATCATCTATTGTATTAATACATATCCAACCGAATTTAAATAGTAAATTTTCTAATTTCATTAGATATTTTTTTATGTTTTGTGTTCATTTTATGCGATGTCTTTAACAATTGGAAACATATTTTTAACAAAAGTTGTTGTTTTATTATTTTTAATTAACAAAGTTTAAATATTATGTATTGATTCTTTATTAACTACATTTAGAAAATGTTTAATATAGATTTTAAATGTTTATTACATTTTTAATTATGGTAGGTAACCTTTAACAAAAGATATAGGCATTAATTCTTAGATTATTATTTTAAAACGTATCGTAAACATTTTAATGATGTCAAAGGTTCGTATTTGATACGGATTACTTTTAAGTATATTAAATTATATCAATAAAATGCAGTTGACAGATAAATTGAATATTGTGAATAACCTTTGGCCAAGTTTCTGTTTCAGTTGTTATTATAATAACATATATACAATTTTAATAGGTATTTTTTACTTAATTATTACTAAATATCAATTAATTATTCAGTACAATATTTTAATGATGAAAGTTTGTTATAGAACAAGATAAAAATAGATTTAGTGAAAGGTTTGCCTTGCTCATATTTTATGAAAACAGGAATTGTATCATATGTAAATTATTGATTTTCCTTTATGCAGAAAATATACCAAATAGCTACATTGAATTCATTGGTATGCATTTAAGGGTTCTATCAATATCTTATCCCAAAGTAGCCCCGATCAAATATATACCTACATTAATTTTTCTACTCTTCATACAATCACGGCGTTTCCAATTGTCAAGCTAGTAAGTACTAATAAGTATGGGTACTCCTATGTAATACAGGGGACTCTACTTTTTCCCGTTTTTCTTATCCAATTCTTTGGGATAAATGTTGAGATTTACTGATACAATATTTTTATTAAAATATGCTTGATAAGTCATCAATTTGTCTGTTAAGTTCTGATATTTTATTAACATTTGCCACTATAAATAATTATGTTTAAATATTTTTGTCTCATTTCTCGAATTTATCCGATAATCACAATGATAATGACAACAAATGTCTAGTTGTTTCATTAGGATACCCTACTTTATGGCCAGGTTTATAGTTATTATTAGCATATGTTTATACTTCAAAATATTTTTTTCTCACAATTATGTATTGTTATTTGTACCCCTTTGAATTTCTACAGTCAATTACGTATAATAAAAGTAGTTGGTAATATTTTACTTTTACTCCGTTATCACATAATAATAACTGATATTAATGTGCTAAATAAATCTATATTGAAGTAGTTATCTAATAAATTGCTAGCAATTATTATTAGTACTTGAAAATAATTTGTGTCCCATCGCCCTGTTGTGTCACGGACAGTGTTAGTGGGTTATCCATTAGCCTCTCAACATTCTACGACACTCCGTGATCCACGACCCAGCCTGAGGCTCTCCTACATACATCATTAGGCGTCTGTACATCACTATATTGTTGTACCGAGAAATTGATGATTTCAGTATGGAATTACGTGCATAACTGATTTATTTAATATAAAACTCATATATTACTGTGTAGACGTTACAGTTCGTTTAGTGTAGGTGGTTAGATAATAGGTACTTTAAAGTTAAGTGATTTTCATGCGAGATGCCTATTGATTGGTATAACCACCCAAACTGCTACAATTTTGCAATATAGTCTAAACAATATATTTATTATAAGAGAATATGTAGCTACGCATATTTACTATAATAAAATATCAATGTGATTAAATCATAAATAGATTTTGCTGTAATGAAAAAAAAAATCTATATTTCAAATTTAATTTCTTTTTATCACAACAAAATTAATAGTAGCTGGTACTGTCACTATTCGTATATTAAGACGAATAAAATACTGGAACGTATGAAGAGATTTTTGTAAGAAAAATATTTTTATTTAGAACGCGGAATTCTCTCAAGCAGATTTTATTCCACAAAGAAAAATAGAGGTATCATGAAAACCCTATCGATGCAAAAAGGATTATGAAAAATTCATAATTGATGAAATTAACAATATAAAAAATACAGGATAATGCTGATTCGATTTATATACTCTTGATTTCCTCTTCCACAATAAACATTATAGTTACCATTTTATTACTATTGCAATAGTATTTGTGCACATGGAAAACAAGCCTTAATCTTCATCCGAAGCTTACAAAGCACCAAAACCCAAATATCCACAACAGAAGAAAAAAATCTACAGAAACCCGTCAACAAT